TTCGTTTTAAAAGATGTTCATTGACACTACAATATTATTTCAACTGAAAGCGTAGTGTATATTAACTGAAAGTGTATTGTAAATGAACTGAAAGTGTATTGTATATGAACTGAAAGTGCTTATATGTGTGTCACGTTTTGTTTTAAAAAAATGTTCATTGACACTATGCTATTATTTCAACTGAAATCGTAGTGTATAAGAACTGATAGTGTATTGTATAAGAACTGAAAGTGTATTGTAAATGAACTGAAAGTGCTTATATGTGTGTCGCATTTTGTTTTAAAAGATGTTCATTAACACTATAATATTATTTCAACTGAAAGCGTAGTATATATGAACTGAAAGCGTAGTATATATGAACTGAAAGTGTATTGTATATGAACTGAAAGTGTATTGTATATGAACTGAAAGCGTATTGTATATTAACTGAAAGTGCTTATATGTGTGTCTCATTTTGTTCTATAAAATATTCATCATTACTACTTATCATATTGTTGTAGACCATACCTATACAAATGAAGAAAGCCACAAGAAAGCAAAAAACCAAGGCCGTCTTGGACTCACAAGCAGCCAAACCAACGCCACCAGCTCAACCAGCACCTGCTGCTGAAAAAACAGCAAAGAACGTTGAAGCCACAAGAGAACCTGCAAATAAACCACCAACACCTGAAAATGAACCAACCATTCCATATGAACCAGAACAAACTGTGCAAGAAGAAGATGGACAGGAAAAGGGACCACCTGAAAACGAACCAGAACCAACTGTTCAGAGGGAAGAGGGGCACAAAAAAAGGGCACCCAAGCGCAAATCAACAGCAAAATCAACAAAGAGAGCTAAAGCCACCAAACAATTTGCTCCTGCTCCAGACACAAACCCAACTGCACCAAAACCAGCTGCTCAAGGATCAAAAGACAAGGGACCAGCATTGCCCAAGCGCAAAGCAACAGCAAGCCCCATTCCTGAGAAGAAAATGCACAAGAGGATAAAGAGATCTGCAATGAAGAGTGAGATGAGTAAAATGCAATATCTACAAACCAGAATGTCACCAAGGTATTTTCGGACCCTCGTTTCTTCTCTATCACCAGATCAACGCAGAGCAGTTCAAGATATTGGGTTTGCTGCTATGTTAAAATTGACCATATTTGACTGGGATAGCAGACTAACTAGGTATCTTGTTGAACGGTTTGATGTCTATGAGTGCATACTGATGTTGGAAAATAATGACATGCAACTGTCGGAGGATGATGTACACAGCACAATGAACCTTCCCCAAGGAAAAATCCCTGTGATTGAGGCTCCTTCTGAGAATGAATCTGGTGAGTATAAGAAATTGTTAGCAGTTTGGAGACAGAGGTGGGGAATAACAAAGGGTTCTCCGGTGACAAATACAATACCAACGGCCATTATTGAGAGGGGAGACAGTGGAGATATGTTCAAAAGAGACTTCGTTGTGCTGCTTGTATCGAGCTTGATAAAAGGCAACTAGAGCACAAAAGCAACCTACAAGATTTTATACTCCATGCTTGATGTTTCAAAGCTGAAAGACTTGAATTGGTGTCACTACACATTCAGATCTTTGATAAATGTTGTTGAATCTTGGAAGAATAACAAAGAGAGCTTTTTCACCGGTCCTTCACTATTCTTACTGGTAATATTTTAGTATGCACTTATAATAATTTTCTCATTAATCTATACGCTATATACTACTACAATTACTGATAAATAATTGCTAATTATAAATTTTATTCTTTCAAACACAGTTAACATACCTTGACAGAGTACAATACAAGGGTGAGAAGATTCAAATGAATTACCCTGCAATAACTTCTTGGACTGAAGAAGCAGTTAAACAAAGAATCAAGGCAGAAATATTGTCTGGAAGATTTGGACGGGGAAAGATACTTGACGGATTTCAACATCAAGAGCGTGTGACCAGGGAAGAAAACATACCTGAAATGAGTGGTGGTCCTGTGAGAGGCAGCCAATCAAATGAGTCCCTTGGGAGGATTACATCTGTACTGAATAGGATGGCTGACACAGTTGTTGAGTTTGCTGGGGTGATGGCTGATATAGGAAACACAAGAACTGGCGGAGAAATAATTAAGATCACTTTCGGGAACATTGCTGACATGATTACTTCAGTCTCTTCTTCACAACCAGAACGAGATGAGACTTTATTGTATGATGATGAGCTTTACAATCATCCATGTTTCCTTGAAGCAGTCAATGCTCTTGAACAGGCATTCTACCAAACCACCAAAGGCTACCCGACTCAAGCTCCTGCTAAATCACAAACACCACATTCGATTCAAACACCAATTTTTGACCTTGGAATTAGCCCTATACAATCATCACAAATCCCTGAAGAAATGAATGATACGCAAGCACACGATGATACTGAAACCCAGAACATTGCAAGTGATATTCAAGAGGACAGTGAGAGGACAGACTCTGATGAACCACAACTGGAAACCCCACCACCTGGGACTGAAAGCAATCTGTTTGATAGGTATGCTCCAACCTATTATATCTACGCTGCTTCCATGCATTTTCAATTGCAATGTAATCTTTAATAACTGAAACTGTATTATTCATGAAGTGACACCGTATTGTATGCAAACAGACACTGATTAGCATGCCTGACATATATATATATATATATATATATATATATATATATATATATATATATATATATATATATATATATATATATATATATATGTTGTATTTTAATAACTGAAACTGAATTTATAATTAACTGATACTGTAGATGTAGATAACTGAAACTATATATATAGATAACTGAAACTGAATTGTTTATCAAATGATACTGCATTATGTGCACTGTATCACTATGTGCTGATACATGCATGATCCTCCATAAAACTGCAGTTTGATTGCTGAGCCTGACATTGATGACAACAATGAGGATGTTATAATTGATAAGACAAGGAGAGTCAGAAACCTGCCATTGCGCCTAAGGTCCCCATACTGGACAACAAATGTTGAAAAGCTGAAGAATGTCGGTCCAAAGGAAAAGTTGATTTCAGACGATGTTTTCCTTGACCCAACAGAAGAACAACCATTAAGGTATAAAGCACACTTAACACACACTCTATTATACAATTTTTAATGCTAACTACTTTATTTATATACATTTTCAAATATGATAGTGAACAATTGTTTGGCCATGAGGGATACAACATCAATAGAGAGCAATTCCAGACCTTAAGAAGTGCTGAGATTGAGAGTATATTCTTAGATGTTTGGTGTCTAAGGCTGAATATGTTGGATCCAAGCCGTGGAATTGATAAGCCAAAGAGGATATTCTTCACAACACAATCTTTTGTAAGCAAACACCATTACTATTTACACATTATGCATGTTTACTTATGAATAACATACTTTAATGTAAAATGTATACTCTACAGCTCCAACTTGACAGTCCAGCAGATTGGGCACCAAACCACAAATCACATAGACAAGATGACTTTGAGCAGTGTCTAACCACCGAAATACAGAACATGGGGAATGTTGATATTAGTGATGCAAAATTGGTAATCATTTCTTTTTCAAATATTATATTTACAGTTAAACATACTACTACTGTTTTCTAATTTTTTTCTTTAAAAAACATTAAAAAATCAAAACAGGTGTTCTTTCCCATTTACCGGCATCATCACTTCTTTGTCTTCTGCTTAAATTTCATTACATCAAAGCTTGAAATCATTGACAACCTGCCACTCCTCAAAGGGCTGAAAATTCAAAGCAAGTATGGTGACTGTCCACAATTGCTTGTAAGTCATCTAATTACTTACTTCAGAATTCAAAACCAATTCACCTATAATGCATATCTAATTACTTCTGACATGCAGCAAAATGCATTTGCATTATACCTTGGAAAGAATGGAATGAAAGATATGCAGGCAAATGTGAAAAAACTGACTGTTGACCTGGTTAAGATGGGTTGGAGATCATCAGCAAACAAGATTGACTGTGGTTTGTACGCAATGAGACATATGGAAACCTACATGGGGGGTCAGAACTGGAAATGTGGATTTGTTCCAAAGAAACAGGATCAAAATGTATGTACATATAATACTTTACATATTTCTACTGCTCAAATTCTCTGACACAAAACAGAGTTAACTAATGTGTACCAACAAAATGTAGGATCTCTACTTGATGTCTCTACGAGCAACATATGCAGCCAGAATTATCATGATGCCAACCAATCAGTACAGGGAAGAAGTCCTGAAGAATGCCAAGACAGTATTTGAAGGCAACAAATATATGACTATGATAAACGGAACAGTTAAAAAAATGTGAATGTTTGTTTTGATGTGACAAGAACATAAGTCACCTAAATGGTGTCAATATTTTTGGGTACCAAATGACATATTCCATTGATATTTTGGGTAGATGTTCATCCTATTTACAAGTTTGTTGACTGAAAGACAATGTTGTTTGGTTGTAAAATTTGGTCACTGAACACAATGATGGTTCTTAACATGAAGTTTTTTGGGTAATCAATAATGATGCAATTCCATATGAATGATTTTTAGTTTCAGTATATTACACGTACACTTTCAGTTCGTACCCAATACAGTATCATTTCATCACACTTATAGTTTCATTTACTAAGATATGAAAATATTAAAGACATTATATTCAGTTTCATTTTGCATAAACTAAAGTATCATTTATTAGACACTACAGTATCAGTTCATTATCTTTATAGTTACATTATAATATGGATGAAAATGTGAGAGACATACTGTTTAGTTTCATTTTTCATACACTGTAGTATCATTCTATATACACTACATTATCATTTAAAAATAACTAGGACTTCATTTAAAAACATAAAAAAAATAATATGTCAAACGTGCAGCAGAATTTCATACTGCAAAAAACTATGCTACCATAACAACACACATACTATCTAATATCCAATCCAATCAAATCCAATATTACAATGATTGTAATTGACCTATCAACTAGGTTTAACCAAACCTAACTCATGACTGCCGCTAGAAGGATGAACAAAATAACCACTGCCAACAATATTAGCAACAACTCCTTCAACACATGCCTGCACTGCAGCCTTTGTATTCATTTCAGCAACCTTGACACCCAACTTCCGCCCTCTCACTTGGTTATACTTTTTTTCGATTGTGCTAATATGCCTCCTATTGCGTTCACCTTTCGCCCTATTACGTGCTGGATTTTGAATTACACCAGCTGTCCGTTGTTCACCATCTTCAATGACAATAGGACCAATATCACCTTCAACCTTCCTTCTAGCATCCTCAAAAGCATTTTCACACACTTCCCGAGCCTTGCAATTTGCTTGGCTGGATAAAACTAACTGCTGAAACTTGCTACCCATTTGAATAACCCAAATAGATGACGCAATGCTAAAAATATTCGAGGAACAATCACTGCTTATTATTCTATCTTCAATACCCTTTTTCGTCCATCTTTTGATAATGTACTTATCCGGTATTGCTGCAACACAGTGGACATTAAAAATGCGTAAAGAATGGGAGCATAAAATACCCATCTCTGAAAACAACATGCAGCTACAAGATATATCCAAATCATTCACTTTGAAACACACTTCATGACGAATGAGATCAACGTCAGGACGCCACACATGATACTTTATCTCATTACCACTTCCCCCCACAGGTTCTTGATGGCATGAAGTCCCTTTCACAAACTGTTTCTCAAAAAGATAATATATCTCAATAGTGTATATGTCTCTAGCATGTGAAAGGAGCTTCACATGATTCATTGCCATAGGTGCCAACCCTTGTGAACAACGCACGTTTTCACCGTTTTCCCTACTTCTCCACTCAGAAACTACACTAACAAATGAATTATAAAAATCACACAACCCAGCTGTTTTTGATAATCTTCTAGATATTGAATGATTCGTAGACTCACTCCTTTGAGATGATAAAATACCACCAGAGAAATATTCTTTACTAAATGCAGGACACCATTTCTCCCTAATAGAATATAGCTTATTTAACCACACATTTTTATGGCACCCATATTCTATCATCATCCTGAAAAAAAAATATAAAGGAAAAAAAAAAAGAACATGAATTTAAACCTATACTGTATATTTCTAAGTTGATGATCATATTTCTAAGTAGAGGGGATATAGGGAATGCCGAATAAATCCAGCTGAGCTCTACAAACAAATACAATCATCAACTGTTAAACACTGACACAGTATCATTTCATTACATAAGCAGTATCATTTCATACAACCTATAGTATTATTTAATAGTTTAGGTACTGTCAATCAACATACAGAAAACAAATTCACCAGAATATAAAACACTAACATAATATCATTGTGAAAAATCAGTAAAAATACCTGGTCCAATAAAATTCAAATTCAGCTTCGGTGTCAGTGTACTTCAACAGAAAATTGAAAAGCTCTAAGAAACCCTTTTTATTTCTCAGACTTTTTATGTGCTTCTTCGAATTCTCCCCGATGTGCCATATACAAAGTCTATGATTTGAATTCGAAAATACTTGTGCGATTGCAGCAGCCATGACAGCACACTGATCAGTCATTATTGTTTGAAGATGCTTACCACCCATTGATCGAACAAATACTTTGAACAACCAAACAAACGACTCTATCCTCTCATTGAGTAAAACCCCACAACCAAACATCACATTCATGCAATGATGATTCATGCCTACAAAAGGGGCACATATCATATCATACCTATTTGTACGGTATGTTGTATCATGTACAACTAAATCACCAAACAAGTCATAATCAGCCTTCATTTGACCATCCCTCCAGAAAAAGTTACACAACCTTGCATCCTCATCAAGTTCAAATTCAAAATAGAAATCAAATTCATCCATTTGTCTCCTTCTAAATATCTCAATCAAACTATTAGAATTAGTGTCATCTAAATGCTTTGCCGAATCTGAAGATATCATGTTATATGCATCCCTAGGAGTAAATCCAACAAACGGTGACCCTCCTGACTGACGTTTTAAGAAGCGAATACCATCCGATAAGGGGACCCCACTCCTCTTCATGTTTTTTAAACATGTCAGCTAATTCTCAGACACTTTCCTATGTGACCTAAGCATATAACTTGATGAAGCCAGACACAGGACATGGTTATGCTCCTTCACATGTTTAGTAATAACCCAATTCCCATTTGAATCTATATCAAATTGACACATTGCATTACATCCAGATCTAGTAACTATCTTTGAGTAACACCTATTAGGAATATATGGTATTATTCTAAAACCAGACTTAGAACAACAAAACATTTTCGTCTTCAAAATTCGAGTACCAGTAACATAATATTGTTTGCCCTTTCTAGCACTAAATCCCATACGAAACGCATAATCATTGTATATACCAAATGCATCTTCTATTGATCCAACATAAAGTCCCAACAATTCTTCATTATCTGTGATTTTATTAAAACATCCCTTTAATATTTCTACTGAAACTATAGATACTACATTGGTATTCTACTGACACTAGTGTGCATTAAAAATGAAACTGACTACCATGATTTTGAAAACACAACAAATTCAAAATCAGTTAAGAATCGAACTAAACATGTAACCTGGAATAGCTGACTCTTCAACAATAACATGGTCAGATGTACCATCAACAGCAATCGAATGGTCAACATCATCTGCAACAAAATAAAAATATAAATTGACACTTCAGGTTACTACAACAGAAACTATATTGTTCAATAAACGAAACTACAGCGATATCAACATGAAGCTGCGTAACATGATCCTGAATAATGTATAACTCAAATAAGAACATGAACAATAACATTAATACATTTAATACCTGGAATATACTCATTATCGACGACAAAACTTGTACGCGGAACATCAGATGCAATCGGCGAAATACATTCGCCGGCGATCGGAATATCATCTTTACCTGCAACAAAAAAAAAAAAAAACCATAGCATATCTACCAATTACACTCAAACAATAACAACATCACACAAGACTGCAATACATAATATAATGATATACACCTGTAATTACTGAACTGTTCTCATCAACGATCATTAAATTCGAATCAATCTCCCCAATCCTATTTTTAACTACTATTTCATTCATGTTTCCGAACATAGATAACAATACAATAATTCGACCGATACCAAACTATAGCAATTCGACGAATCGAAACAGGAACAGATCGAAGAATCTTAAGAAAAAGAAAAGAAAAAGGAAAGAACGACAAATCTAATAAAAGGAAAGAAATACGAATTCAAAATAGGGAAATAACAACGAATGATAGAAGTTAGCCGTCCGGAAACAATTAACGGCGACGTCTGAAACGCGCCCTAATTAATGATAAACGACGTCGTTTCATACCCTCGGTGCATAATGGATTATGCACCGCGGTGCATAATATAATTTGCCCACTAGTTCCTCACCTCGCGTTCGCGTCGATTGATAATTTCAAAATGCTTGCAAGGTGCACAATAGTGTTGCATAGTGCACTATAAAGTTGGAGAAATTAAAAAAAATATATAATGATACTACAAATTTTTTTTTTTTTATCTCATTGTTTTAGATTTGTTATATTTTCCTAGAAAGACGGTTGATATTGATTCTTAGTTTTTCTTAGAACGAGCTCTCATGTGTGTGTGACGAAATAATATATGAAGATATTAATTCCCAAAAAAAAAAAAAAAAAATCACGAGTACAGAACTACTTAACCACAACCCTAAGATTGTACAAGGCTTTCTACGACAAAGGTCGTGTATGGTGGGGTCGCAGAAAGCTTTGAGTGTTCCGTGACCCTTGTTGTAGGGATGGAAAGTTAAAAATCCACGACCCTTTTTTCGTAAGAGGATCACAGTTTCTTTTAATCAAAGATATCGGCGACCCTTTCTATGCTCAAATAGTCACGGATAACTTAATTTTCTTTAAATAAATTAATTATTTTTAAAACCCGCAATTTTTTAAAAAATTTATACAGAATTTTGTAGAACTAACACAACAAACTATACAGTACAATATGCTCTTCACAATAACACAATAATAAACTTCACAATTATACAAAACTAACTAACAACACAATATATTACCACAATATATACTACACAATATATCATCACAATACCTACTATCAACTCAATATATCAATAGAATAATAAGAATCAAAATATTTAAAATTGAAATCAAGATAATTGTTCAACATGACATTATATCAGTTAATAATGTATAATACTTAACTAATTAAGATAAAAGATAATATTTAATCTAAAAATAAGTTACACGCACTCTTTCAAAAAGTATTTCGTCCACAAGTCTCGAATCTCAACTATTTGGTTGGTAAAATACGGATTTTGTTCAAATTCCAACAAAATAATTTAATGGAAAAATGTCACTTTTCCCCCCTGAGTTATATACTTATAGCACTTTTTCCCCTTGAATTATTCATGTAATTAAGCACATTAGTCTCCTCAATTCTTCTAAAAGTGGCAGTTTTTTCTCCTGATATATTAAATTGACATTTCTACCCTTAAAGTAAATCTTTTATTTATTTTTCTTCTCCAACAAATTATTGCGTATACGTAGGGATGATCACGGTTCGGTTCGAACTGAACCGGACACTATAGCAATCGAATTAAAAGTTTCCAGTTATGATTCAAATCCAGAACTCAATATTTGGATTTCAGTTTATTAAAATTATGAATTGAAAAAATTGGATCTTGAACCTTGAACCGGCGGTTTCGGATCCAGTTCGCAATATTGAACCGTCTTTATTTTAAAATTTTATTTTTTATTTTAAAATAGTCTAAAATCAACAATAAATGTATTTTATTTTTTCAGTTCCGAACATGAACCGGCAGTTCCGGTTCGCAATTTTAATAAATTCTAAATATCGGGTTTCGATTCTAAATTATAATTGGAATATTTCAGTTTGGTTGCTATAGTGTCTGTTTGGTTTGAACCAAATTGTGGTCATAATTTATTGGAGAAGAAAATTTTAAGGGTAAATATGCCCATTTAACATTTCAGGGGAAAAAACAGCCACTTGAATAATTCAGGGGGAAAAAGTGCTACAAGTATATAACTCAAGGAGAAAAAGTGCTATTTTCCCTAATTTAATTGTTCAAATTGTTAAATATCTTAATTAATAAATTATAATTTAACTATACATAGTTCTAATTAAACTCACTCACCTCATCTAAACAATCAATCGATGAATATTTTGTCACAATTTCATACGTAAATCGCAATACATAATATCCACACTAAACACCTCTCAGATCAGTTGTTGCGGACACTACAAAATACATATATACTTTAGTAGTTTAAAAAATAAATAAAAATTTAAAATATCATATTAAAACATTAATTTTTATACTTTGCATTGCTTCCAATTGACAGCCCTAGCCCCTCTTCCATTCGTAGGAAACAAGCGAAATGCCCAATATTAATTATAAACATATATAAGAATTTATAAATAATATAATAAAATTTAAAATAATTACATTAATAATAAGATATTTACTTACTTATTCATAAAAGCTTTAACCTCAATTGTGCGATTACAAGTCATGGGATCCAACACATATATGCTTCTTGATCGTATGCAAATCACCATAAATAACCAATAATTTCTACATTTACAAAACACACATATTAAAAGTTTAATATCGTTTTGGAAATAAAAAGTTTAATATCTAATATTTGAAATAAAGTTACTAAGTTATATATAGTGCTAAAACGAATTGTTCATTCTTGTGTTGGTCCATAATGTGAATGAAATATGAGGTAACGGACACACTATTTAATTTAACTATATCCTTTTGAAATCTGAATTCGACACGCAAACTTAATTGACGTGACTCTAAACGCATTACACAACCGATTAAGAAATCTGAAATTAACAAATAAGAAATTTCAATAACCATAAAAAATAAATGTATATAAATAATTAACAAGAATAATTAGAAACATACAATATAAACACTAGTATAATTGAGAAGTCAAACCAATTCATCATCATCAAATACTTTATATCTTCCATCATCCCATAAATATAACCCATGTTTGTATGATAGCAATAATGGCTTTTAAAATTGAATTTTAAATTCAATTTTTGTAACTCCCCAAACTGGAAATTAAATTAAATTACATCTAGGGGTCGTTTGGTTCACGGAATGTCAGATTACCTTAGGAAATGTTAGATTGCTGGGAATGTTAGATTCCTGTGTTAGGTTAAAATTGGGGTATGTAATATAATCATGTTTGGTTTAGGATAATTTTTTATACACACTATAATATCCTTAACATATTTTCATATATTTTAATAAATTTAAAAATTAAAATAAATAAATAAGATAACGGTATCATATATAATTACATGATTTTAAAATATTAACTAAAATCTTGAACTTGAGAAACAAAATTATTTTATATGCTAACATAACATAATATATATATATATATATATATATATATATATATATATATATATATATATATATATATATATATATATATATATATAATTACAAAAATAATTATATATGTTAGTGTTTTTATGTTCAAAAACCCCATATTATAATTGGCAATATTATTATGGCATACTAAGATAGGTTTAGAGTTTGTCCGGTTGGTTCTACAGATATCTGATCAATCAGAAGCAACAACAGAAGAACTGACACTGAAGATCTGACTTAGGGAAGCTGTTTCCTTAAGAGGCTCACGCGGTATTATCAGCCCAGTATGGAAAGACGATCAGCGTATCTTCAAAGAAGGTAATGGACCTAATCTGCTAAGATTACATTCCTCTTTTATAGTCCTACCTTCTACAATCAAAGACATCTATGGAGAGTGTTTATTGAAGGATCTATAAGTACCAGTCCTTGAAGGGAACGAGGGTTACGCCGAATAAGAAGAAGAAACACTCCATATCAGCTTTATGAGACTAGATCTTTGATTGTCATGCAACTTCTCAATACAACATGTTCACGGTGATTAAGATGATGAACTTGAGAACAGTTACTGCTGCTTAAACGAAAGGACA